TTCTGATAAGTATCAGAAGCACTGTGCCATTAGTTTGTTCGGTTTGTGCAACTACTAACTGGACTAGCAACTCAACGATGCAAGGCATAGAGACTGTGTTCTCTGGCGTTCATGCACCTACTCTCATAAGACATATTGATCTGTAGCTCTTCTAGTCTGATGAGCGCTTGCTGCACGCTAGCTACAAATTGAAAACAGAATTCATTGCTCCGGTTGAATGTTCCGAGGCTTGAGCTCCAAGTGCAACAGTTGGGTCAACTTAAAAAACTAACACTAGGGAAACAATAGTTGCCACAATCCCCGCAGTAACGAGCCTTTACGATACGGTTCCATGAATAACTACCAGAAGTCGATCCATGGCAACTAAAAACGCATTTAAAAACTACTCGTAGCACCAACAATAGCAGTTGCGCTTTTGTATGTTCAAGTACAATAACTTGAACCGTGTCTACTCGAGTCGAAGAGCCAATTTTGAGGTACTTGTGGAAATTCGTAGTTATGAAAGATTAAAATTTTATTAATATAAGTAGCTACAATAACTGGGCCAGTTAAGATCGCGTTTCAGAGATTCTTCCCAGAGACACAAAAAAGTGCACACGTGATGATGAGAATAGTTATGTACCTGCCGTCGCATGTTAATCTAATTGTTCTGTGCCGTGTCCATATATCGAATTTGTTAAGCTCCACTCACGGTTTCTTAATTGAAGAAAAAATAAGTAATGGCATAAAGCTACGGGGAATTTTTTCTATGGGTATAAAGCTACAAAGGAAAAGAACTTTCTTGCCCATAGAATTTTTTTCGCCTAAAGCAGTTAACTACCAAGAGCTAGACGCGTTTCACTGATTACCCAAAGTAACGCCGTTAAGATATTTTCGCCATCATAATGGATTAGAAGCGGGCTAGCTTCAAGTTCCCTAAACTTTTCAGCATACTTAAGCAGAGTTTTTTGTTCTTGCTGGCGTCACTGCCCATTCTGCATTCATTTATTCATCGAGGGACATTGTTTGAAATTCAATATTTAAATTTGGGTCTGAAGCTGCAATGATGCTCCATATTTTTCCTTTGCACATATTTGTTCGGAATTTACCCCTAAATTTCTCCGAAAATAGCAACTCATTAAATGCTATCGCCGTCATTAAAGTCAAACACTGACCTATGTTTGTACTTTGTTTTGCGTATTTTTGATAGGCATAGACGAGTTTCGTATATCAACGAAATCAACATGAATATTTGATATCATCTACACACTGAATTAGACCCAATGTCTTTCTGTGATGTTCAATTATTTGAAATTTTTATAAAAATTCTTTATGCAAATCAGTTCAGTTCGATAACAACCATGAATATTACTTCTCTCAATTATATTATGTTGTCATTTCGTGGTATTAGGCTTTAATCAGCTTGATATTTCATAGTTTTGGAGTTTGCCCCAAATTTTTTTTGTGCGCAACATCTGATTATAAAACATTTGATGGGGGCCGTTTCAGTCAGATCGAAATGAACAAGATACTTCTCGTTCTTATCTGTTTAATTGACTATTCATCAATTTTCTGTCATGGTTAAGTGATAAACGTTCTTTTTTTATTGTCATTGTTCGACAATTCGCACATAATTTATATTCCTGAAGCTCGTCTGATGTTACAGTTAGTTTGTACGTCGACAAAGAATTTCAATTGAGCAACGATGTTCAATAACGTGAAAATCTTGAACAATTGTGAGTTTCTTGCCAAGACGTCTTTAGTTAAGACCATCGTGGGAGGGTGTCGTCTTGTTCCGATAATTGAGTTACCTGCACCTAATCGCCTTCACGATCTTATTGAGATCTAATTCCCTTCCCCTCTCTTTGAGCACCGCTAAGCTGCCACTCATCAAACGTTGCTCGGCGCAAAGTATCTTATGGTCGGCGCGCACCTCTCGGTTCAGATTGACTAGTACAATATTAATTTTCTATGCTTGTCTTGTAAATTTATAGGCGTTGTTTATAAATGGATATTATGGTTAGATTATTTCTGACTTAAAAATGATTACAAAATCATTTTCATATGTTTAAAGGCTGTTGATATTATTGGGTCGGAGAGGCAACTTTTGACTGTTTTTAATGTTTTAGTAAGTTTAGTTCATCATACAAATTTCGCTCAAGGTACATACTTGTACCATGCTTGGATTCACATCAAAATAAAAATTATCGTTCTTGACTTGATTTTCTCATCGCGATGACATTTATTGCGCTGCTAATTTGAATGTACAAAGTTAAGACTGCAACAAATTAGTGTGAATTCTATCTTTCCGCTGTCAACCTTGGACATTGCCTAGCGTTAACTGATCCTTTCGCTTCGTGCCGATTAAACTAACATTCAAAGCATTTACTCTTATTTTAATTTCCTGCAACATAAGTCCTAGCGTAAACTGGGTTGCTCTGGCCAATCTAATTAGCACCTTGCCCTGCGTCGAGAGTTTGTATTTCTCTGGCGTTGCTAGCAAATTCCTCTTATTCAATTAGCAGAGTTCCTCTCTTTTTCGAGGTCGCCGAACCTCTGATTGGCTGCGATGGTTCAGAATAACTCGATTCGCCGTGACACTGATGATGAATGTCTCATGCAATAAAAACAACTGTCTAAGCTTGATATTTTTTACTTTCTGCCTAATTAACTCTATTAGGAAGATTATTTTCAGTCTGAATTGAATCATGCACTTGATTAGTCCAGTCAAAATCGTTTGATCTTTTTCATTACCAAAAGAGAATTTGTACAAGGAAGGCACCAGAGACCAGTATAATCCGTAGCAACATTGATGGTTTAAAGAAATTGATGTAAATGTGGATTATAAAAATTTAATTAATTTTTCTGTTGAATTTGCAACACCGTAACCCTCTGAAAACTCCCTCTGAGAAAAATTATGTTTTTGGATTGACTTAAAATTGATAATATTTAGCCTTTAAGATGTATTTAAATTGTTTATGAAGTTAAAACAAATTATTCATTTTTATATAGTCATCTCTACGGAGGTTATGAACATCATGTTGTTCAGAGAATATGTTATTTTTATTGTTGATTTCGATTAAATGGCCTAAGATTTCATTCAGAAAGCGAGACTCGCAAAATATGTACTTGAAGATATTTGTACTCTAATACCCCAAGCGCTACCATACGGTACAACTGTACCAGGGTTGGCGATTTTTTTGATTTTTTTAAAAAAATCAAAAAAATCAAAAATCAATGATTTTTTTGATTTTTTCATGATTTTTTTTTGATTTATTTGATTTTTTTGATTTTTTCAACTTTTTTGTATTTTTGAGGTGTTATTTTTTATGTTGCAATTAGCCTACTAACAATAACAAACTTGAAGATATTTGTACTCTAATACCCCAAGCGGTACCACACGGTACAACTGTACATAGCACAACTCAAATTTCAACATAGCGTGTGAGATTCTTGTGAATGATCTCAGTTCGTTGCATCTAACTTTACTTACAATCCACTACTTTACATTTTGTCCCCCAAAATCTGAAATTTTTAATTTGAATCTAATTATAGCTCGCTTCTCAAGTCGTGCAATATTGGGACAGAGCCTTTTTTGCTCATTTTCTCATTTATGGAAAAAATACACTACTGTGCTCGCCATGTCCGTCCGTCTGTCTGTTTGTCCGTCTGTCTGACCGTCCGTAACTTCACGTTTTCGTCGACGAGCAAATGCGCTCTCTGTCACTCACCGCAGTGAGTACTGAGTTATATTTTTTTGGCCACTGCAACATCGCTATGTTAGTACTGATCTTGAAAGTTGGCAACAGTGGAGCATGGACTTGATAGAAAGCTTGAAGGGATGGTAAACTAGTTTCCACTCAGTCCTTTGCATTTGGGAAATTTTTATTTGCGAGTGAATTATGTGGGTACATTTGGTACCGCTAGCAAGGAACGGGTGAAGTATTTTTTATATGAATTTTTAGATATATTTTCGTTTAAAGTAATTCAAATCTTCGATGCGCAACCCGTAGATTTTCAACAAATATTCTCTAAGCCGTGCATCGTGCATGCTCCTGCTTCTGTTTGATAATTATGTCTACTTTGCGTTCACGATAGGAGCATTGAATTGACAGCCATTATATTTATAAATTTATATTTTTGACGTTCGAGTAATTCTTAATCTATGCAATTTGTGATGCGTTGACGGTTGAACATAAGCTGACATATATGCAAGGTCAGGATGTCTGCTTTATCAGCCTGGGCCTGTACTTTCAAAAAAAGTTAAGAGATCGTAAAATCATCAGCCAATCATTGGCGGCCTTTCAAGCAAAATCCACCAATCATAGACAAGAAAATAGAGCATAAATACTTACGTTCACTTAGCGAGTTTTGAAAGTATGGCCCTAGGATATGCTAAAAATTCAATATAAGCCACACGCTGAAGTGTTTTAACATTAGAAGTAATTTCTTTTCATCTCATTGTTGCTTACCTTATCTGTTCAGTAATTATTCAAATTCGTGCGTTTAAGTAGTCAGTCATCCTAAATTTTTCATGTATGCTCAAATTTGTTTGATACACTACTTAAGTTATTCAACAAATGAGACCGGTTTTATTGACATATGTTCGCTCGGCACTTTTAAAGTAATATTGATTATTTTCAGCACACTTTTCCTCTATAAACAGCAAATTATCGTACGTAAACGCATTCTTCTTCAATCACAGACGATTTTCTTTCAGATTACATGCTGTAACTGGTTTGCCTCAGTTGGCATTTTCATATTTATTGGCAAATTTAATTTTGATTACATCGCCCTTTAATTGGCATATGTCAATGATTCATTTAGTCTTTAATTCGCGAATCTATGAAGCTTTACCATATATTCTCTATCACAGCTTATGGTCAGAGGAAAGGTGCCGCGTGGTGGGTTCCAACACGACACACGTGACGTGCCCTTTAATTGGCATATGTTAATGACTCATTTAGTCTTTAAATTCGCTAATCTATGAAGTTTTACCATATTTCTATTCTCTCTCACAGCTTATGGTCAGAGGAAGGGTGCCGCGTGATGGGTTCCAACACAACCCACGTGACGTGCCAGTGTGATCACCTCACCAACTTTGCGGTGCTTATGGATTTCCACGCGACGCCGCTGTCGTCTGAACACACTTTCGCTCTCGCCGTCATCACATACGTTGGTTGCGTCGTGTCTATCGTTTGTCTTCTTCTGGCCATCGTCGTGTTCCACGTCTTCAAAGGCCTTCAGGTGAGTTGTTGTCTTGACCATCTATAGTGGCCTCCCTTTGAAACAAAACTGGTAATCTTGAAATTCCATCAGTCAAGTTATCGGGTCCTTTCTAAATTTTCGTCGGCATAAATTTTGATGTTGAAATTTGGCATGCTATTCTCTATGAATGATCACTATATTTATTCTCGCTATTGTATCAATTAATCAATTCGTTTTGAAATATGAGGCTGAAATCAGCAGGAAATATTGTTTCTTCAAACATTTTCTTGAAATGATTTCATCACTTTTTCATTAGTATATGATTTTGTCACCAAATATTTTTTAATAGATTTGAAATGTTACCATACGATAATTTATATATTTCAGAGTGATCGCACCAGCATCCACAAGAACCTATGCGGTTGCCTGCTGGTCGCCGAGATCATCTTTCTGGGCGGCATCAACCAAACGGGCAACCGCATCGCTTGTGGTGTCATCGCGGGGCTACTGCACTACTTTTTCCTGTCGGCTTTTGCTTGGATGTTCATGGAAGGTGAGCGTCCATATACTGGAGGCAATCGTATACTCCGGGCGCATACTGATTTTGCGGTTAATGAATTGCTTAAACGAATGATAGAACATATATTTTGAAGTCATATAATTTTTAGTATCTATAAAATGTCGTCGCCGTCGGGTTCGTGGTTTGATTTTTTGGCCCTTTGCGTGTTGAAAGTTGTTTTGAACAAATCCTGAAGTCTACCTTTTCACCTCCTTTCATTATTATGCTCTAATGTCAGTAATTTTAAGTCATTTATTCTCAAACGTAATATCTTTGAACAGGTTTACAACTGTACCTGATGCTAGTCGAGGTGTTTGAAGCCGAGCGGTCACGACTCAAGTGGTATTGCCTGGCTTCCTACGGCGCCCCGGCAATTGTGGTGTTGGTATCCCTCGGCATCGACCCTCTGAGCTACGGAACTCCACAGGTCTGCTGGCTACGCACTGATAACAACTTCATCTTCGCCTTCATCGGACCTGTCGCAGTCGTTCTTTTGGTGAGTAACATTTGTTGTGAACTCATATCTAACAGATTAGTATGTATTATTCACCTTGAAATATATCGCTTGCACTTGCGAACTTATCATCAGTACGTTTTGCATCGATTACGCATTACGCTTTCTTATCAACTTCACCTGGCTGAGAGTACATACTTTACTATTGATTTCGTTCAATATCAAACGATTATTACTGATTAAATTGACAGACCTCGTGTTAACCCCGAGACCCTTTCCTCGACGTTGATTTGCTTAGAACTTTGCCAGATTTTTTTTACAGGTATTAGTATTTGGTAAAAGGGATTTTTGCTGCCGTTCAGAGCTGTAATTTCGAAAACATTTTATTTAACTTTTTAAATTCTTTGCAAATTTTTTAACAATAATATTTTGATTTTCTCTTCATATATTCATGTTAATACCCTTGTACACTAAAATTGCGTAATTCTTTAATTCTAATAATTTTGTATAACGGCAAATTATCGTTCGACAATATTCTTGAGTGCGAGTCAAAATCTCGACCGCTCTGGCAGAACGTCTTATTCATCAGTCCATGTGATTATATTCACCCTGAGTCTCTTTCTTATTCCGCTCGTAAGTCATTTTATATCAGTTATCTTTGTATTTCTGTCCCGCTGCTGACTGAAGAAGTCCATAATTACGTCAATTAATTGTCCATAATGATGGCTCAGTCTTCTCATGGCCTCTTGTCTCGTTTGTGCACTCAGAAAAATCAACAGGCCATATTGTCCAAATAGAGACCCACAAGGATCGACAGTGCGTCCTTATTTGGGCAAAGTCACTTATTTTTCTGAGTGTTGCGTTTTAAAAACGCGATCTCCCCTACTTATTTCCCCTCCCCCCTCCCATTCCCGACTCCTGGTTTGCAGGTCTTTGATGAACTCCCATTGTTGGCCGTTGCTATGGTGTCTTTTGCTTCTCTGCCGACAGGCTTCGATGATTGGCATGTAATAGGCTGCTATTCCCTTCCTGTGCAGCATAGGACTCAGATCCTTGAGCAGCTCATGTTAATGTCATCCAATTACGACGACTACCGGTCGACTCCTGTAGGATGCGGGCCTATATTCCTTACTGGCTTCGATTAATTATTGTTCAATTACTACGTATAACACAAAAACTTATATAAACCTATTATATATTACATATATAAGCCCTCCACTTATTTTTGACGGTTATTACTTGTGTTTTCGACAAAGTTTTTATTTATTTTAGTGTAATCTCCTTCAACGATCTTTATGTACTATTATCACAACACATCTTTTAATTTAATCGCATTTTATGGCACAATAAAAATTTTAATCGATAGAAGCATTAATTGCTCGTAAATGATGAATAAAGATTCAAGTGATGAATAAAAATTTAAGTAACGAATAATGATTAATAAACGGTTCATGCATTCTCTGTGCACATTTTTGCAAATTTAACTTTCTGCACTAAGCAGAATATCTTCTATTGTATGCAGTGGCAATATTCCGTCTGCCAAAATAGGTGAAATTTATATCTTGCTGTATCGACATTAGGTGGGAGCGGTTTTTCCAACTTTCCGGAGTTCGGTTTCACAATACTGCGGAAAAATTGTGGATGTGCAAACAAATGTGTGCAAAATTTGAGACTCCGAGGTTGATTTCTTCATGATTCGAGGGTCGTTTGAAATTTATTTATTATCTGAGATTGGATATTCTTAACTAATTGGATATTGTCAAACAACCAAACAGTCACAATCATAGGTTTGCTCATGACATGGATTTAATTGTATTTCTTTGACATCTCATGACTTTCGTTAATTCTAACCTTTGTTCTACTAATACTTTGGTCTGAAAATCTTACAAGATCAAACACTCGCATGAGAATAATTAGGTTTTCTGTACGTTGCAGGCAAATGCTGTGTTCCTGATCTTGTCTCTAGTGGTGCTCTGCAGACACGCGTCCGCATCTGCTTCCCTCAAGAACAAGGAGCACACTAAGCTCGCCTCTGTCAGGTAACAATGACAGTCATTTATTAGTTATTACATCATACATGGTTTGATAACTCACTAACATTATTTTAGTTTAGTTATTTTTATTGTTATTTTCTTCTATTCAAATCGTCATGTTTAATCTTTACTTATATCATTAATTGGCTTAAATCGCAAGTTCACCAAGAAATTAAGAGTGAAAAAGACTAATTAAATTGATCATATTTTCATTGATCAAAAACGCTAAGTAAATTCATCATATCTTTAACTATAAAAAAGCGGCAAGTAAATTCATCAAATCTTCATCGACAAAAAAACGCCAAGCAAATTCATCATATATTCATGGTAACCGTTTTGTAGACCAGCTCCATCAAAAAGGTTTCTTGTCCTTAGAAGAAAATTCATGCATTTTCTGGCTTATTTCTTATAGATGTAAGTAAATTTAATTATTTTAAGAATTTTTTGCGATTTGAGTAATTTAAAGTTACATTTTTTCCGCTACAGCAATTTACGAAAGAATAACACCATTATTTTTCTCACATCATTCAATTCATACAAGAAAATTTGTTATTCCGAACAGTCTTTAATTATTTCCTGTTCGCCGCAGGACATGGCTTCGTGGAGCATTTGTTCTGGTCTTTCTTCTGGGACTGACCTGGACGTTTGGATTGCTTTATCTCAACCAACAGACGGTCGTCATGGCTTACGTCTTCACCGTACTCAATGCACTCCAAGGACTGTTTATTTTCATCTTTCACTGCGTCCAAAATGATAAGGTATGTCTGCGTTGCTAATTTTCGTGCTAATTTTCTGTCTGTACGATAGCTCCTGTTATTTTTTTCCTTTTAACTTAGTAATGCTTAGTATTTGATTGAATGGAATAACTGACGTGGACTGCAATGCTGCCAGGAGGATATCTGGAAATACAAGGCAGAGAGTGATGTGTTCGTATTCATTGCGGTTCATTACTAATTCGTTGATGCGTTTTCGTTACGTTTCAATGATTTCTCATCAAATAACTAAATATTTACAGTAGCATGAAGATAAAGTGATTAAAATTAATGAAATTATAACGTTAATGTTTATTCTTAATACTATTCAAAGAAACGTTACGTCTCTCCTTGGTGATGTTTCTCTATGTGGTTTTTGAGGCCAAACTTTCTCTCTTAGGGGAAGTTTAAGTGAGCATGTTAGTTCGGGGTAACTTTGAACTTGTTTTATGCATTCGACTAATGGGATGGTGTAGTTTTGTGACTAATATCATAGAGCAAGCGTGAGTATCTTGTCACATCGCTCTTCCTAACTTACGGTTAAGGTAACATGAAGAAAAATATATTTAAATCTCAATTAATACTTTCGGAATCTCGTGTCGGGACCATAAAGTTGTTTATTCTTAGTTTCACATTTCTACATTTAATTTAGTTGATTATTTACTGGACATTTTCAATAATTATTCAAGACGTATTGTGGCTATTTATTGTTTTATCTGTATTAAATATTGGTTGAACACGCAAAGTATTCAAGTGTAAATTTTTTGAAAGTTGAAGAATATTTTATAATTTGGCTTTCACACTGTTGGCCGGATCTGCTGGTGAAAAGTATAGATAATTACGGGAACTGAATTTGGGGCAATTGTATGTGATTGATATTTGCGAGCCCGGCAACATGGATGACTGTTTTGTTAGGTGAAGAAGGAGATGCGTGGGGCATGCCGCCGTCACTCGTGGCTGCGAGCTTGTCTCTGTGACACTCACGGCCTTCACACACCCACGTCCAGCGTGGTGACCAAACCCGACACTCGGGGCAACAGCCTACGGCGTCACCCATCCCTGTCACCCTCTGCTGTGTTAGCGTCATCTTCATCCGCTGCCCAAGGGGCAACATCTGTGGGTAACACTCCCTACATTCACCCACAGCACCCGAACAACCCACCAACCAACGTTAGTGGACCTTCACCTGCAAGTCAACAACCGCACTACCTACATCACACGAATGCCACATTAGTCACTGACACGCACGTCACCTCAGCAAACTCTTCCCCTCTGCATCACGCACATGTTGCTAATGTAGCTCATAACCATCTCACGAACCACATTGGTCATCAACACACACACCACCACCACCTTTTCCCGAAGCTTCCTCGTAGCTCTAACTCTTCGTATTCGGAACAGATTTTGATTGAAAGGCCAAATAATTTTAGTATTCCGACCTCCCCCTCTCTATCTTCTCAGACTTCGTCGTCTGCAAGCGAACTGAACACATCATTCGGAGGCGTTCAGCCGGACTTGGCGAGTTATCAGAACTTTTTAGCTTTTCGGGCACAGCAACTTAATGCGGCTCAGATTTATGCAAGTCCCCCGGGTACACCAATGTCCCAACTATACGATACTGCTGGACCTTGTATGGCTCCCATTAATTGTGACGTAGATTCTTCTAACCTTAGTATGGACCCTCGATATAATATTTACCAAGCTTGCGGAAGGCCGGAGTCACCTCATGTTTACATGCAAACCCAACCGTATCCTACGAGACATCCATCGCACAATCAACGGTCGTTGCAAGAGACTCATAGTGCAGCAGCCATGAAAACTTTGCCTTCCCTCAATTCTAACGGCGTTCATCGCTCGGCGACATCTTCAGGGGCTTGCAGTAGTTATGTTAATGCTCCAAACGTATCTCATTCTGTGCCAGCATCTCCACAAGATGAGGAAACCAATTCCTCTAATCGAAGCAAATCACATCCAAAGGTGCAACCTCGTCAAATTAGGAACATGCAGGCTATCCCTCATTCCAACACGAGTAGAGTTATTCAAAACCATCAAGTGGCCGAACGGAATAGTCCAAAACTTAGGTACTTAAATCAATCCCAAAATTCTTCATCTAAATTCATCCCTCCCATTAGCGACGGTGAAGTTTTGATGTGTTAGGAAACGTGACTTTAGGCACAAATAGTATTAGTATTTGAATGTTCATTCATTACAAATTTTCCCGTACACCAAGTATTACATTCATAATTTCTACCCTTCGGCCCCGATGCTTCAGTCGCTGAGAGAGCATCCAGAGCTTATCCCCACCGGTAATTGGAGAGCTTTTCAAGTGTATTTTTCGCGATTAGCGACGCTTTTTGGGCGCACCCTTTGGTTCTGCATTTACTTGAATGATAATGGTATTAATGTGTCTAATCCTCATATAAACAACCCTGCATGAAACCGTTGGTGAATTTCCAATTTATCTTTCCATGGAAGCATGCGTTGAACTTTTATTTAGGCATTCATGGGTGCATGAGGGTTTTTATCCACTGTTGAATATTTATCTGAATAAGATAAATATTCAAATGTCTCACTTGGTAGAAGCCAGCGTTTTATTTATGGTTTCTGGATGATAAGTTGCCATCAAAATTATTACTGCTTTTTGTAATTACCTATGACCTAAATAATCCTCATTCTCTTGATGCTTCTAATGAAATTTTTCCAATATTATTCTCAATTAATTCATGATAGCAAGACTTACATCTTTTCATTCTTTTCTTGCAAGTTATTATACTTCAGTTTGAAAAATTACGCGCAGTGTATCTAAATTTTACCACATAAAACACGACCTCCAACCACAAGTGTAGTTCAGCAAATTGACTCGCTCAATTACACTTCCAAATTACATCAGTAACATCACATGTTCTTTTATTATTAATCCCTCCCTCATGTGCACTACGTTGTTAAATAGTTTTTAAAAATGTTTCTAGTGACTTTTTGTTGCCTGAGTTATTTTCCAAGAACTCGTTAAAACCCTAACGTTGATCTTCTCTGATATCACGCGCCAATGAGCTCAACTTTTTGCACATCAAATAATACCCATTAAGATTTTCCTAATATTGAATACTTTTATTATATTTAAAATTGTTACAAGTTGATCTCTGAATAATAAGATTGAAAAGTACTGTAATTACGTAATACAGTAGAATAGTTATAATATAAACACTGTGCATTTTCTTGGTGAGTCATTTCCATGCCATCTAGAAGCCCTATTGATTTTACGTTGGGTCTCACTCTGTGTTTCTCAACTCAACAGAAATACTCGTTCAAATCATGTGGCCGAGATTCTGGCCACGGAGGTAGTGAGCAGGACGAATCTCCCCGCACTGGCACTGCCGGCAAACTGACCTCCCTGCGACTGAACAACAACGTAGCTCCTCACCAGCCCGCTGACCGTCTTGTAAATTCCTTCACCCAACCTCACACTGAAATGCCGAGTCCTGAAGCATTGTTGCCAGACTACCGTCTGGCTAACGATGGTTTGCGGTTACCCCAACATCCTGGAATCAGAAATCAGAGTCCTTATAACCACACATACACCGAGATATCCGAAGGGGGCAAGAGCATCAGCAGCCGCTTGCCCACGGATCCAGTGTACGAGGAAATAGAGAGAGAGGGGCGGCTTGTCGCCGAGCTCCAGGTGAGCGACATGAGCGACGAAGATGGACGCCGAATGTCTTCTGATGTGTCACGTCAGTCATCTCGGTCTTATGGAGACCACAGACCTCTATTGCCTTACACTCTACCTGATCATTTACATGCATCGCTGCAGCATATTCCTCATCAACATTTCCACCACATCCAACATCAGTTGCACCAACATCAACTGCATCAGAACCATATCCAACAAATACATATGCAGCAGCAGCATCAACTTCAACAACAGCAAATTCAACAACAATTGCAGCAAGAGCAGCAACTGCAACAGCAGTTACAACAACAGCAGCAGCAGCACCATCATCATCACCATCACCGCCATCATCATCCGACGCCAATGATTGCGACTGCACATCCAATCAACGCCTACGAAACTCGCACCAGACCCGAGATTCTGAATGTTGCTGAATCTGTCGCCGTGAGCGCGGCACTCAGCCCTCGTAGCCCCCATCAGTGCCTTGAAACTTTGAGCCCCATGCCGTCGGTGGTGCAGCCTCTGAGCGAGCCTAACCTGCGTAACTGGGAGGCTGTACAGCATCGGCGGGACATGGCTCAGTTGCAGCAGCATTTGGGGGAAATGACTGTTGCTGTGCTCAACGGCGAACAGGTCGTATGCAAACTCAAGTCGCCGTTAGCGCCAATACAGGAGACTACCCACCAAGGTTCTTCGCCTCAAACTTCCCTCGATAATGTTCACCAAACACTAAACCACTTGCAGGCCCAACAAAGTTCCGAGGAAGAACGCCAGCCGACTTCACAAGGCTGTCAGCCGAGCCCTGAGGAAAAGCCAAATCATCAACACAAACATCCAGTAACATCACTTACGTATTCTCACTGTTGATGGCACTCGTCCAATTCGAGATCGTTTGTGTTTTAGAAGTCACAGTGTTAAGTGAACGTTATATGTTTTGCAATGATTAGTCTAATAGAGGGGATCAAAATCACTTTGATTAATTACAGATCGATAATTGCTAGTCATGGATGCCTTTCAAGGCATCCTATTTTTTATGATCGATCTTTTTTCCCTTAATTAGCAACTTAGCCTTGAGAATGGAGCTGTCAATATACTTATTTTTTATAGATCGTCCAGGCGTGTGTTCATACTTGATAATCTGCAGTAAGTTCTTCGACGTATTGACTTGTTGAAAATCCATTTACAATTTTAGTAAGAGGCATGCATGCCATCATATATTTTATCACATCTTCGACACCAACCTCGTCCCAACTTTATTGACTGTCACGCATATATTAGCGATGAATATTAATGTAGAGGACTGCTACACTTCAATCATGAATAGCTAACTCATATATATATATTATATATATAAAGCTTCCAGCCTAAGTCCATGTACATTATATCTTTTTGACTGCCTAATCATTCGCGTGTTTCAAAGATACCGCAAGATGTCCAATATACTCTGTGTAATATGGTTTTCACAAATTTTTTACTAAACGACTCGTAAAGCCACGTTTTATGGCAACGAACAATTGGCGTCATGAAAGTTGTGGTTGTGACCAGGACTTGTCTCTGCTTATTGTGATCAAAAAATTAATTCAAAGCTTTTTCAAATGAGCCGATATTTTGGAACTTCAAATGATTTATTTGACGGTTAATCCATGGTTCCACGTTTCGTGTCTGATCGCATCCAAAGCTCTGTTCACAATTAAATTTTTGTTTCTTTAACCACATGTTTATTAACTTATTGCCTTATTAAGTGTTGCTTTGAAATTCCTCAGTACTTCCCTTGTAATTGTTTCCGTTCTTTGTATTTGAATTTTTTGTCATTATTGGTTCTCGTGATTTTACGTAACTATCTGACATCCCCAAAAGCAAGGGTTTGAACCTAATTGTGTAGAAGTGATTGATTCCAGTTTTTGAAATGACACAATGACACTCGATCCATTTTAGTTATTCTCTTTGAATTATCTTCGTTTTCACAAGTGTTTAATGTCCTTTTGACATTTATGGATGTTATTCGTGTTTCTTAGCATAAAATATTGCATTTTCTTGACGTTTATCTGTAGTTCGATGTAAAACGATTGTTTGAGAAAGCCGTGAAACGTCTTTCCTAACTCATCAACGCAGGCGTGCGAGCCACAATGTGTATTGTGAGACGGCGCCAACTCATTTATGTCATCTTATTCATGTACATAGAATATGTACAGAGAGATTCATATATATCTACGTGTTTGTATATGTAGTGTAAATAAATCATGCTTAGTTTATGCGCTGCAATAATATCGATGACGGTAATGAATTTTAGCGACTGAGCGCTAATTCTTTAACAATTTCTGTTAAGTTTCTCTTTCTGTCAATTACGATTTTTCAAATTTTTTTATGCTTTAGCAGGTCAACGATTTTGATGACTGCTGCTGATTATTAAACAGAATTGCATGCCTTTGCTATCTGGACTAACCTTCCTCCGAACTCTCGTTACCGACACATGAGATATGAATGGTCACACGTTGCCACAAGGTAAAATTGGCGTTAAGTTCTGCTGCGAAGTCTTCTCTCCAATGTCGTCGAAATTTTGCAGGATAAATAAAATGCGAATTCAAGGAAATGTTCTGGAATTATCCACAATAATGTATGGGTAATTTTTTGAACTCGATAACCAAAACGCGGAGTCCTTTCAACATTTCGGTCATCGTGGGACGAATCGAAGCTTCTAGAATGTTCTGGAACAATTTTTCGAACCCGTTCTAGAATGTAGTGGAATCTTCTAGAACTTTCGAGACACGTCCATGATCTGCTCTGTAAACCCTTTTGGTTGTACGATTAATTGATGTTCTGGAAACTGCTGAAATTTCCTCTGAAATTCTCTCTGTTCCTCAACTTTCTTAACCTGAATATTTCTAAAATCTGAAAGGATATATCGTAGGTCAATATTGGGACTTTCCCGCTTGCCATAAAAGTTTTCTTGAGGCGTGAAAACATTTCATTCTCTCAAAAACTCACTTTCAATTATAGTCTTTTGTAATCCAAAATGAGGAACGTAAATCTATAAATGGAAGTGCCGGTACAGTGAAATGACTTGCATCTTCATAATTTTTATTACTTCTCTGTGGTGGATAAAGTTGACTTTTTGACAGGTGAAAAATTCAAATCCGCAAAAAACTGACGAGACAACTATTTAATAGCTGCATGTGTGAATTCTATTATAAATTGCATGTTTATGGAAAAAAACTAAAATTTATCTAATACTATCAATTAGTAAAACGTTTTATATCTCCCTGGAATTATATACTGAAGAAGAATGTAGTAATCGATCGGTCAGGAGGAGGAACTAAATAAAACTCCGTGACGTAATCGGGAACCAAGATGCTTAGTTAATATTAGAATGGCCATTGTAAATATGCATTAATTTGAAGTGAGATGAAATGCGCGTCCTCTTATTCAGCCATTTCGTTTATTAATGATACTCTCTTTTGTAACATTTTGTATGTAAACTGTGATACATGTGTGTAGTATAATATGCCCCTCTAGGTACCGCCAAATTAATATCAAATAAATTATTGTGCGTCGATTGTCTTCATCATTAACCGCAAAAATACAATAACAAAAACAACGGAATTATAAGTGCAGTTATGAGTTGCATTTCGACCTAAACGTGCCAAGTCCTATAATTGAAAAATGTTTTCGTTCTAAATCGGTTTATGATATAAATTAAATCGTCTCCAAAAGTCATTTTAGGTCTCCTGAAATATAGTATAACAAATACAAAGGACAAATTAGAAATAAAATACTTCTACTGTACTTAAAATGTAGCTAATTAGTTAATACATATCATCACTTACTAACTAAATTGCATATAATGGAAGAGTATTACTAAAATTACTAGTAATGACTCGACCGAGCAACTGCTAACGTCGGTATCTTATTATACAAGACGTCAACAAGATAGAGAATAGGAACAATGGGAATGAAATTTCTCGGACGACCACTTATTTGTGATGGCGCACAAGTTGCCAAATGCAAAAAGTTTCGATTGAGGAGAGTCGTGCGCACAACTTTGGGAGACTCTCGCCGAGCCTGGCATCCAACTTTGTTTCGAATAAGCGACTCGGGCGAATCCTATTGGCCAGATCGAGAGAACTTCAGGGGCAAGAGGAGATTTTTTGTCTAGCACCGGAAACCTGAGTCATCAGTTAAGATGTTTCTCAGAGTAGCAGAAGGCAGTGCCAGGTAATAAGCGATTTTTCAGCAACGATATCTTGGAGGAACGAACAAGTCGGTAAGCCGGTACTATAAAAGCGTCTAGACTTTCTGAAGCCCACTAAATTCTTACGAGATTTTCGACCACAAACTCTATTCAGAGCTTTATTTTTCTTTGAACAATTTAGGTTTTAACATGCGCTCAACTTATGCGTGAACGAATGACGCTCATAGATAGGAAGTATTTCGTGCGGAAACAATACAAGAAAACACAAGTCATTATTAGAAACTAACAAAATTGAGACAGTCGTAGATTCAAAAACAGTAAAACGAATATTTATCTCTCCGTAATGGCACTGGCAAGTGGCAACGAGACCCGTACTAAATGGGGGCTACGTTTATCAATTTCAATATGTTTAACCCATTTTAGGATAATCTAAATTGGAAGTTCTCACTTTTTCAGTAAATTGAATGCCCGAACTTGACTTGGCATAACGTCGTAGAATGAAGAGCTTTTTCGAAGCCACAGACTGAGTTTACAATTGATACTTTTGGCCGGTGAACGCCAACATTTATTGTCTTGCTCGCAGCCATGTTCCTGACTAATAGAGACCGCAACCATTTGTCCACGACTAAGTTAGTCACTCGTGAACAAACAAATCGATCGCAGGAGCAGCGACCTAAACTGTTGAGAACAAACGGTAAGCCCAACCAGACGAAGAAATATGGACAGTTGGACACACCATATAAAACTTTTGGAAACTTCACAGCAACCGTGTAGGCCACGAGTCCGAAAGCATTTGTGTGTTCAAGTCCGCCGAAATTTCGATTCGATGAACTAGGGCATCAAAAATGAATTCAAGCTCAAATTGAAAAACAGTGGTTAAACTGAGGTCATCTTATTATGAATAAGATGACTTCCCCGACTGCGGAGCCTAATCTAGAACAGCAATTTTGATGTGTTTTATACGCAATTACTCCCATTCAGTCAACTCTAAACATCATATCATAACGCTGTAGTCAATTACAAATTTACCTAGCATCCATAACAAATATCATAGATTTATCTGGGACTTGTCAGCAAACATGCAGTTTCAATTGCAATGAATTAAGCTTCAGAGTTCACGTTGAAGCATAAGCTTGAAGCTTCAGAGTTCACGTTGAGAATCAGCGTGATGCGTTATAAGTTACTTTGTATAGGCTAAAATAGACACCTGTGACTGACGACTCCTTGGAGAGGCGAAGGATCCTGGGCACAATCACTGATCGACCTCCCCTGCAACACAACCAGCGGCGAGAAGCAAGCAACAGCATCGTGCATCAGGTGGCCCAAATGAGGGCGGATGAACGATAATCAGAGGCGGCGATCCATCGTGGCCTGGGACTGCTATGTCCCAAACAAATACTAAGAAAACCAAGGACTAAGATTGAGGCATGTCATCCGGCGCGCGTGGTAAGTGATAGCCGGATTAGGCCATAACTTAAGAACCGAGGCCTTCAGAATAGTGACTGACAATAGTGAGACGAGAAGTAGGCGAGAATAGTGACAGACCATAGTGAGACGAGAAGTAGGCGGCGCAGCATACCTGCACCAAACAACTGAGCTGAAGTTAGAGTTCGGTTCGGCTGGATGTACCTTTCCGTAGCGGGAGTGAGGAT